AATCTTTGATTAGTGTTAGACATTCTTGTTACATATTTATATTTGTGTATTAATTGCGCATGTCTGTTGGGAGTTTATTTGGTGGTCCAAATGTATTTTACTTGTTTACAAGATCTTTCTGTATATTTCATCTTACAGAATTTTTTATTGTTATATGTGAGGAAGGTGCTGTTTCTAATTTGTTTTGTATGTATACTTTAAAAGAATTTTTATGTTGTGATTTTTATTCATCTTTTGAGAAAAAAAATTTAGAGACCTAATTTCCAAAAAAAGTATCAGATGAAAATTTAACAAGTTACTTCTTTTAAACTTCCAAGGAACAGATTACACTAATTCTGTCTAAATAGTCCTAGAACATAAAAAACTAGAAGCCTTTCAGTTCCTTTTTTAATAAAGCAACAACACTGTTCTGAGATTACCTGTCCCCCAAAAAACAAATACATCAATCTCAGTTATAAACATAGATACAAAATCCTAAATCCTTAATGAAGTATCAGTAAATTTAATGTTATCAGTAAATTAAATTAATAATATACCATGATCAAATAAAATTCATGTCAACTATGGAAAAATGGTTCAATATTAGGGAAAATATTTTAGGTCAAGGTATTTTTTGTTAAGATAAGGAAGGTTACCATTATAATAGATGCCAAATGGCATTTTATGAAAGTTAAAAATCTATTTCAGATTTCTATTTTTATAACCTTCATAAAGTTTGATTAGATGAATAGTTAATTTTATAAACATATATCTGAAGCCAAAACTAGTCATATGCTTAATGGAAAAACACTACCAGCACTTGCATTGATGTCAGGAACAAGAAAAGATTCTTATAAGCAGCCTTTGTTTTTGCTTTACCATTGTTTTAGGAAAGATTAAGCATTCTAGTTATGCAAAAAAAAAAAAAAAAAAAGCAAGAAAGAAAATGAAATGTAGTTAATAAAAATAACTAATAATGACAAAGTGGTTTTTTTTGTGCCTGGTAGTTTTCTTACTGAACATTATTATTCATTATCACAGATTATGGTAGTATAAAAAATAATTGCCACAAGTGTAGAAAGTATTTTTTATGCATATGTGTAGAAACTGAGGCAATAAAAACTTAAGAAACATGCTTAATATTATTCACCCAAGAAAGGCTGAAAGTTAGATTTGAACCTAGTATAAACCATAGTTTGTACTTTAAACCAGAAGTTGACAGACTTCTAAAGCTTTATTGGAATACAGCTGTGCTGATTCATTTATGTCTTGTCTATGCCAATATTCATGCTAAAACAGCAAAGTTGAGTGGTTGTGGCATGCATATCCCAGTGTGTTCCACCAGCCCTAAAAGGTATACTCTCTTGCCTTTTACAGGAAAATTTTGCTGACCTCCAACTTATGACATTAAACTCTGTTCCCTCAGATTAAGCCATTAGATCTTTTTTTTTTTAATTAGGAAAGAGAGTACAAAATTATAATTAAGATTATATTGATTATATATTTGGTAAACCCAAGATAATCAACTCAGAAACTGTTAGAAATAAAAAAGTATAAAATGAGATAGTTTTTTAATACTAAACTTCAAATTTCATTTGGTTTTCAAATCACAAATAATGACCAGTTTGGGAACATAATGATAGTATAGATCCCATTCTAAAGAGCAAAACCAAATATGTAGATACAAGTGAACAACGAACATGAATGACATGAATGGAAAAGAAATAACTGATGAAAGAATCAGATGGGAACTCTGGCAGTATCTAAAAACTGCATTAGTAATAGGCAAAGTGAAGGTTAGTGACTTGAGTCTTCTGTATTTAGAGGATCTAAATGGTGGGTGTACAGCCATAAATCACTAAAATCTAGGCAAGGTAAGCATCATGAAATGAAACAGGGACAATAAATTCTACAAAAGATTGACTTAGATTAGTGAAAATAGAATCTAAAAAGGACTTTATTGCTCTGAGGAATAAAAGAGGGATTTGCCTTTACAAATAACAAATAGGGATTATGAAACAGGTACAGTGAATTATGAAAACCATTGTTGACTATTAAAACTAAATAAAATGAAAAATTGCAGAAGAGACTCAACTGAAGGGTGTATTAATGGACTAGAAACTAGATATGAAGAAATTGCCTAGAGTACAACACAGAGGGTAACACAAGGAAAAGGTAAAAGAAATGAAAAATCTTGGCAGAAACTCTAACATGTATCTAATAGGAGTTCCAGAAGAAGAAAATGGAAGGTATGCTGTATTTGAAGCAATAATGGTCAAGAATATTCCCAAACTGAAGACACAAATCCTTAGGGTTAAAAGATCTATTGTGCTCATGGCAAATTAATACACAAATAGATAGCATATACATTTTAATTTAAAATTACAATAAACACACGTCACAGTGAACTTCAAAATACCAAGAATAAAGCAAAATTCCTTAAAGTTGCTTACTAAAGAGACAGTTTACCTAACAAGACAATTTCTATACAGAAATTTCTATCGTATTTCACAGTATAGAAGCTATATATGGAAGGAGACAAATAGTCTGAGAAATAAACTTGGGATCTGTAATTATATCTTTAGTCATTCTGCCATTCAAGAGTAAGGGCAAAATAAAGACATTTTTGCGTATACATCGGAATGTAAAGTCATCATCTTGAGTAGAGGCACAGCTAACATTTTGAGTGCAGTTGTACTATGTGTTGCAGGATATTAAGAGCAAAGAAAAATATAATGTTTAATAGATTTTTTTTGTTAAGCATAGAGTCACCAGATTTTCAAGAGGAAAATGTAATGAGTAGTAAACCAGCAAAAACAGAAAAGAATTTTGTCAAGTATACCAGTCATTATACTAAATGTGAACGTAGTTGATTTATCACCTAAAAGACCGAGATATTGCCCTAAAAACAACAACAACAACAACAACAAAAATAGCTAAATCCTGATCATTAGAATGGTTGAAGAAAAAGAGTGTGAAAGTCACTTTGATATTAAACATTACTAGTGTTAAGTGAAGTAAAACAAAGGAAAATTTCTGATAACGATAAAAGTCAAAATTAATGAAAATACAACAAGCTAAAAAAAAGTTGTTTGTTAGAAGGAGCAAGCAGAACCAAATTGCAGTAGTTTGAAAAGAGTAAGACTTCTTTACATTGAATCTTTTTTTTAATATTTATTTTTTAGTTGTAGTCAGACACAATATCTTTATTTATGTGGTGCTGAGGATTGAACCCAGGGCCTCGAACATGCTAGGCAAGTGCTCTACCACTGAGCCACAACCCAGCTTCTACATTGAATCTTAATAAAATGAAAATTAGCATTGAAAGAGTGTCAGTAGCACAAATAGTTACCATGTTACTTGAATAGATCAGTTAATATAATTTTTAAAAATTTTACTGTGGAGTTAATGAAATTGTTACTTCATTAAACTTTAACAAGAAGGAAATACTAGAATTACTCTTTTTCCTTTCAGAATTGTCATGCAACATTATTGCTGGTTTCACTTAGACAGTATTAAAAAGTCAATTAATTTTGGATAAGCTAGACTGGATAGGATTTTGCTGTTCCATTTGATAAATTCAGCTTTTTTCAGTAGTCCGAAACCAGTGTAACATTGTTCCCCTGAAAAGGAACAACTTGGCATTTTTAAAGAGAATTAAGTGGACAAGATTAAAAGCATGGAAAACAATTATGAGGCTTTTACGATAATACAGGTCAGAGAAAGATGATATGGTTTGGACTACTGCCATGGCCAACAAGGTGATGAGACGTGCTCAGATGCAGAATATATTTTGAAGGTAGAGCCTGTAGGACCTCCTGATGACTTATATATGGAGTGATAGAGAAGACTCATTAATTAGTCCTGTGCCTGAGTAATGAATTTAATGATGGCTTAGTGAAATAGGAAAGATTTGAGGAGGTTACAGATTTGGGCTTTGTGAGGGGGATGTGGAATGGAGGAGAGACACCAGGAGGTCTCATTTAGATGTAGTAAAGAATTAGAATAATTAGTTGATTCATAATTTCATAAAAAGCATGTACTTTTTATGTTTGCTTAATTATCCAGAAAATCCTATCTTCACTTTATAAAAATGGTCTTTCTTAATAAAACAACTAGGTAGGGAACATTCAAGGTAAAGGAGGGAATGTTTTAAGTTAGCATATAGTTTAAAATAAGACAATCGAATTATACTAGGAAACAGAAGAAACAGATAAATGTGTGAATTGTTTTCTGCTATAAACATTGGTATGAAATAATCAAATTCAGAATATACCTAACACTAATAATCCTTATAGAGAAAATTTCTGTTTATAGGTATTGTAAGTAATAGGAATATCCAACATAAACTTTCTTAGATAAAAATGCAGAATTTTGAACTTATTTTATTTGTTGTTTTCTGAAGTTATTTGTTTGTAAATCAAATCTCCCAGAAAGTACTTTTAAAAAATGTTAGGCAGGCTAAATTATTGGACTGATCTCTTTCTTGATTGGAGTAAGCCTTCAACTCAGAATAAAATTATTTTAGTCTTAAATTAAAATAGAATCATAATAAGGATACATTAAAAAATAAGGGAAAGTTTTAAATTTTACATTTTTTGGCAATTTGCCAAATAAAATGTAATAAGCATTTAGAATGAGCAAATCCAGTGAAGTAGGAGCCTTATTTGTGTAATTCATCACTGTATCCCCAGCATAAGCATAGTGCAGGTAACCTAATAATTTCCTAGGTGAATATATAAATTAATAAATCATTAGAAAGTGTGGTTTAGTGATATTTTAATACTTTTCTTCACTAGAGGGTGCTGTGTTAGCATTCAGTACTTTAAGTGTCATCTCTTTTTTTATATTTACTTTTTGCTAGAAATTAAATTTTTAAATCACCTGACTTATTAAATACTTTTATGCCTTTTTTTGCTTTCAAAATAATACTGATAGTATTGTGTATAATTAAATTCATGAAATTGAGCAGTTGTTAATGGCAGTCTTAAAACAAATTTTCTTTTTTTCTTCCTCCTTAGAAGACTTATGACTCCTATAATGTATGCTGCACGGGATGGTCACCCTCAGGTTGTTGCTCTCCTTGTTGCACATGGAGCAGAAGTTAATGCCCAGGATGAGAATGGTTATGCTGTAAGGAACACTTTTACAATATTTCTTTTTAATTTTTGCTATTTTGTTATTATTGTTGATAATCTACAAAATAGATATTTGGTTGTTTTATTACAAAGAGGGTTTTTAAGAAGTAATAATTATAGAAGAGCTAGGATATTATCACTGGTGAAAAACAGCAACAAATGAATAGAAAAAAAGGAATTATTTGACTCTTGTAGTCATTATTCATGACAAAAGTTATAATGTACAACAAAACCTGGACTCTGAATATACTAAGGATTCTTTTTTTGTAGAAAACATTTTGGTGATTGGCAAATAAATCAGTTTGTTCCATAACAGTGCCTAACTTTAAAATATTATTTGGTTTTATAAAATCAGTGAATATTGCAATCTGCTTTGCAATTATAGCGTAGGAAGTATGTTTACATTACAATGTGGGAAATATGTTTATATTATATTGTTAAATGAAAAGATTGCATCATCCTGTTAATTAACCATTTTCTCTTTTTTATTGTGCCATTAATACTCTTGGAAACATTTTCTGTCTATCTCATGTACACTCCTTCTCTTTAAGCAATCCGCTTTTCCTCCCCTTATAGGCTTTAACATGGGCAGCACGTCAAGGTCATAAAAATGTAGTTTTGAAGTTGCTTGAACTTGGAGCTAATAAAATGCTACAAACCAAAGATGGAAAGACACCAAGTGAGATTGCAAAAAGAAATAAACATCTTGAGGTAGCCATCTATATGTTAAAGTAATTTTTCTGTGGTATGTCACATTATCTTATGTAGAACTTTTATGTTATTTTGTTGGAATTCACAAGTGTAATAATAGTTTTTCAGATATTATTAAATGTATAAATAATTTTTTATCCAACCAATTAATATTTTTCTACTATTCATCTACTAAATTAAGACATTTATAATATGATAAGTTATATAAAAAGATATTGCTCTTACTGTGTTGCTAGTAATGAAATTAGACTAACATTACAAACTGGTTTAGATTTTTTTAAAATTAACTTACATATTGCAACAGTAAAGTATCAAGATGGACTTAAAACATTGTTGTATAATTTTAATTTGTAGATGTTAGACAATTTAAACATTAAATCCTTTAAGCAACACTTATTCCTATATGTGTGAACAAGCTATGTGGTAAAGTGATAACATACTCGGGTGTATGATCTGCTGTCATTCAGATTTTAAAACTCAATGATAAATATTTGCCATATATTAAATTAGTTTATGAATACAAACTTTTGGTTTATATATTAAAGCTTTAGCCAGAGGTCTGTACTTTCTAAGCATAGATCAAGTACAATACCATTGTAAATTAAGTTCAAGAGTTCATAACACTGAGATTCTGAATTTTAAAGTATATGAAATTCTGCAGGTTCTATCACATAATTGTCAGACCATGCCACTTACATTGCATGTAAAATAACTTTCATTAATTTTTGAGCAGTCTAATAAACATGCATATTATTTTCCAAATAAAATGTACATTTCTAAAATTATTCTAGAGTAGAGACTAATTGCTAAAGTCTTGCAAAATTTCAAAAAGAAAGCCCACAAGGTAGTGCATGCCTATAATCTCAGCAACTTGAAGGCTGAGGCAGGAGGATGGAGAGTTCAAAGGCAAGCACTGCAGATTATTGAGGCACTTAGCAATTCAGCAAGACCTTGTCTCTAAATAAAATATAAAAAGGACTAGGATGTGTCTCAGTGGTTAAGCACCTCTGGGTTCAATCTCCAGTATACTAAAAAAAAAAAAAAAAAATCAAAAAGCTGTTTGCATTATTTCTTCTAACCTTTGAAAATTTGAAGACTAAAACTCGGTTTACTACATTAAATTTTGGGCAGATGATACTGAATTTGATATAATAATTAAGAGCGTCACAGGTTATATTGAATCATAAATCATTTATTAACATGAAATTTGATATTATATTTTGACTGATTACATGACATAGCCTTGAAGTTAGATTGTAAAACTAAGAGGTTAGATTGTAAAACTAAGAAATTTTACCACATTGCTTTGAGGTATATAGTTGGGATTTGTATATATTTAAGCAAGTTTATTGCTTCCTTCCCACTTAGCAGTGTATTTCAAGTACTACCTTACTACTTAATCATTCTTAGTCATTTGTTAAAGTGGTGTTTTAGTTTTGTATTATGTATTACTAAAAATACTACTTTCTTTCTCTAATTTTACTATTTTGAATTAGTTAAAACTCTTTTCTGGTTATTTTAGGTCAAGAAAGCATTTACTTGATTTTATAAAAGTTAATTCTCAGAGCAACAGGTCATGAAAGTTCTGACCCTTACACCTTGCTAAAATTTTATTTTCCAGTTGAAAATTAATCATGTGTCATTCGTTTTAAGTGCAATTGTAGTATATAAAAATATTAACTATATTTGATTAATTTGTGAATCTTTTCAGATCTTCAACTTTCTTTCGTTGACTTTAAATCCTTTGGAAGGAAAGCTTCAACAGCTAACTAAAGAAGAGACTATTTGTAAACTATTAACAGCAGATTCTGATAAGGAAAAAGATCACATATTTGGGTAACATATTTTAGTTCAATGGAATTCCTATACAGAAGTTAAAAATGCATGCTTTTACTACTTATAGTAAATGTGGTGACTTATTTAAGATATATGATATTTTAAACTTTGACAGGCATTTTTAAATATCACTTAGAAATGTCTGGATTTTAAGTGCATTGTTCTTCCTAATTTTAGACGGTTTTATTTATGTGTACTAATATGAATCGTATAACGACTTTGGCTTTAAATGTAAACTTTTAGTAAAATACCAATAAAATTTATTTTAAGGGATTCAGCTTCTGTGTTAGTATTCAAACTGTATTATCCCTTGCTTCTGAGTATTTTTAGCATATTACTCATTTTTTAAACTAAAACTAAAAATATTTTTTCCTGAATACTATTTTTTGGTATATGACCATAAACTATTCTTTACCCCATTTAAAGCTGATATTTAATTTTTACTTATCACAGTTGAAGAGATTTTTACATGCATAAATTTTACAAGGAATATATGTTAATGAATATTTTCATTCTTAGGAAAGATGAACTACATTTTACCATCAGCATTTTCTCTCATATCTTTGTTTAGGAAACCCTGCTTTGGGTTGAGGGTGTAGCTCAGTGGTAGAGCACTTGCTTAGCCTGTTCAAAAATTCCTAGATTCAATATCCAACCCAAGGGTGGGCAGGAAGAATTAAGACTTGCTCATTCCTTTGGTACATCATCAAATCTGGAGTGTAAATTTACAAATATATTCTATATAGACTCATTCTTACTATTCTATTTTTTTCTGTAAAATATAAGTATATATTTATTAGTTGTACATTTATGGTCTGTTCTGAAATTGACATTGCTATAAATATGTATAGTTCATACACAGCATTTGGAGATCTGGAAATATTTTTACATGGTCTTGGACTGGAACATATGACAGACTTATTAAAGGTGAGATTTTGGGTAAACTACAATGAGTTTTATATATATGTTGATTTGTTGTTTAACCTAACATTAAATTTCAGTTCATAAAGATACCTATGAATTAATGCTATACCTTTTCTGCATAATTTGCAATACATCTCATTTTAAACTTGTAGTAAGTATCCCCAAATTTTATTATTATAGATATTTAAATAAAGTTTATGCTGGTTGAATTTGACAATTTTTGCCAGCTAAGTCCTCTGTAAATATGTAAGCCATTTGTTTTTGAAGTTGCTGATTTTCTTGTATAGAACACTAGAAGCATGATTTTAAACCAAACAAACCTGACATCAGATTCTTGCTCTGGTTATTGACTGAAATACGTTACTTAAACATTTTTTTTTTCCTTAAGAACAGTAGTAGCTAACATAAGGTTTCTTGAAAGTTAAATTAGATCATATGCCAACCATTACCTAGGTGCCGTAAGCATACATTGTGGATTTGAGTAGATGAGAATTACTGTGAGGATACTGAAGTAGTAAAGTAGTACTTAAAATAGATTCCCCTTAGGAGTGTGCACATTCTGTTCAGGTGTTTTAGAGTTGGGTTTTATTGAACAATTTTGAAACTTTTTTCTATTTGGAGAACTCTTCAGTATAAATATAATTTCAATTCCATTTTATAGATTTGTTTTCATGTAAGCAAAATTGAAAAGTAATTTGAAAGTAATCATTTTTTTTGAATCTGGAATACTAGTTATATTTATACTTTTTTTAGTGAATATATACTATCTACCCAATAGTGTAGTTCTCTGTCTACATCTCTATCCCCTCTAGAAAGCTGGAAGTGGTTTAAGAGTACAGCAGTTAACTATCTTATGTACACTTACCTACTTTGCTTTTTACTATTTATATTGAAAGGTGATGGGGTTTTATTTTCCCTTTTCTACAGGAAAGGGATATAACTTTAAGACAACTTTTGACCATGAAAAAAGATGAATTTGCAGAGGTTAGTATCATTTTCAAAACTCCAGATATATTGATTTTTTTTTTAAAATTGGGCCTCCTTTTATTTTATGTTTCAAAAATTCTAGGGTTACAGACTGTGATTGGTATTTTTTAGGTTCTTGATTAAATATGATTATGAATAACCAATTCTAAAATCTGATTACAGTATTGTTACTTTAGAAACATTCAAAGACTTAAAGTTTTGGTTTTGTTCCTTCAGGTGGCCATGATATCTCAATTAAAACCAGTGTTTTATTTCCAAATGTGAATAGATTTGTAAAATAGACTTCTTAGAAATAAGAAGTATTTTTTAAATGTTTGTAGGCATAGGTATGTGTCTTCCAAATAGTACCACTATTGTTGGTCTTTCAAAACTATCAAGACATTATTTTGTTCATATATGAATGTACAACCAGTGGAACTCCACATCATATACTGCTACAAGAAGAGGATCCTAATTAGGATAAGTTATACTCCATGTATGTATAACATGTCAAAATATACTCTAGTGTCATGTATATCTAAAAATAATATTTAAAAGACATTATTTATTTTCACATCTAATAATATTAAGTAACAATTCAAAAGTAATGTGAGAAATATTAAAGATACTTTAATAGGCTATCTAAAAAGCAATGATTTTGTTCCCTGAACACATCAGAAACTTGAAATTATTAGTATCACTAAAAATCAAAACAAGCATACTACTTAAGTAAATCAACTTGTATCTTGTTGATTTGACCATTATGTATTAAAATCTAGTAATTGGATTTGTTAGTCTATTCCAACTATTATGTATTGCAAAAAAATTACTGTAATTAACGGTATGCCTAAATATTTTAATGATGTAAATATCCTCTTTAGTTACACAATCAAACCATGTTTTAGTATATTATTTTCTAATATGTCTGTTTTTCAGGATGCAAGTAGAAAACTTCTTTGATAATTTTGAAGATTAAATTATTCAAGTATAATTATCTTAACTGCACCTTAAAATTATTTCTACTTAGAATGGAATTACCTCTAAAGATCAGCAGAAAATTCTGGCTGCTGTTAAAGAACTGGAGGTAGAAGAGATAAATTTTGGAGAGTTACCTGAAGTGGCAAAGTTGGAAATCAGGTAAAATTAACTTATCAATTTATATTAATATTATTTAGACTCAACTGTTCTTTTTTAGTTTAATTTTGATCATGTCTATGTCATTTGATTTGATAATAATATTTTCCCAAGGAAACAGATTTTGGAATATTCTTTGCTCAGAAATGGGATGCTGTGCTATTCCCGGTATAGTTCTTACTCCCTTTAAATTATTTTAGATGTCATACTGAAAAAATCAAAGTAGTGATAGTTTCTCTTATGTTAATAAGAAAGCATTTCTCATATGAGCATGTTCAGCCTTTACTATGTGAGAAATTGTTGTCAAGCTATAAATTTCATTTCCAATAATATAAATTTGTTAAACACTGATTGTTACTAATCCAAAATCTACTTTGAAAATAATATTTTATTAATAAATTTAGAGAATTGAATGTTTTTTAACTTAATATTTGATTTTAAAATAATTGTAGATTCACATGATATTTCATTGATACACAAGGAGGTTCCATGCATCCTTCATGCAGTTTGACCCTCTGTTAATATCTTACATAACTGTAGTACAATATCAAAACCAGAATATTGACATTAGTGCAATCCAGAGTTTATTCATATTTTACCAGTTATACATGCTTTCATTTGTTTGTGTGTGTATATATAATTCTGTGTGATTATATCATATGTAGTTTCATGTAACCACTCTCAATACTTTTAATATCCCTATACCATAAACTTCCTTATCCAACCCCTTTACAGCGATGCTCATCCATTTCTCCATTTTTAACCCTGAGCAAATGATGATAATTTGTTATAATGATATTATTTCATGACTGTTATATAAATAGAACCATACAGTACATGTCTTCTTAAAATTGACTTCTTGCAATCATTGTTAAGTTTAGTCAATATTTTTGCATATATTAGTACAATAGTTTATTCCTTTTGTGAAAGAGTAATATTCCGTGGTATGCATTTACCATAGTTTAACCATTTATCCATTGAAGGACATTTAATTAGATTTTAGAATCTGTTTATTCTATGCTACGAATATATATTTATAGGGCTGGGGTTGTGGCTCAGCGATATAGTGCTTGCCTGGCACACGTGAGGCCCTGGGTTTGATCCTCAACACCACATATAAATAAACAAATAAAATAAAGGTATTGAGTCCAACTACAACTAAAGAAATATTAATTATATATATATATATATATATACATTTATATTTATAAAATTCTTTTATAAAGTAAGTTTTCATTTCTCTGGATAAAATGTTCAGGAGGGCATTTTAAAGGTTGTATGGGAGCTATATATTTAGTTGTTGTTTTTTTTAACTAATCAACTTTTTTTCCAAAATGTCAATATTCTCTTATATTCCCCAACTGTATATTAGTGATCCAGTTTCTCTGAATACTCATCAGCATTTGATGTAAGCACTAATTATTTTTAGCCATTTCTATATGTGTATAGTGACAGATCATTGTGATTTTATTTGCATTTACCTAAAGGGTAATCGTGTTGAACACCTTTTTGTGTCTCATTTGCCATCTGTGTATCCTTTTTGGTGAAATGTCTCTGTCTTTTGCCCAATTTATATTGGATTGATTGTTTTTTAATATTGATATTGGGGCGTAGTCTATATTCAAGTCTTTTGTTGGATATGTGCTAATTTTTTTTTAGCCTGTGATTTTTCTTTTCATTTTTCATAGAGCAAAACTTAAATCTTGAGGACTAGCTTATCACATTTTCCTCTTATAGATCATACTCTGGTGTCAAGTTTAAGAAATTAGGTTCTAAATTTTTTTCTAACCTTTTTTTCCCGGAAGTTTTAGTTTTATATTTAAGTCCATGGTACATTTTGAGTTCATTTTTGTGTTGGTACAATGCAGGCTGAAGTTAATTTTGGGGCTATGGATGTCCATTTGTTCCAGCACTGTTAAAAATGTTATTCCTTCTGCAGATTTGGTTTTCATTATTTGTTAAAATTGAATTGGACTATTTGTATAGATTGTTCTGAGTCCTCTATTCTGGGTTCTTGCAGTGTCTATCCCTCTGTAAGTATAGATCGAGTATCTACTTTTATCTGAAATGCTTGGGATCATAAATATTTCAGATTTTGAAGTTTTTCGGATTTGGGAATATTTGCATAGACTATACCTGTTGAGCATCCCTAATTCAAAAATCCAAAGTGCTTAGAAATTTGATTCAGATTTCAGATTTTCCAATTAGAATAATCATGATGATACGGTATTGCTAACTGTATATAGTAAGTCTTAACATCAGGAAGAATGATTCATCTCATTTTATTCTTTCTCAAAATTGTCTTGGCAATCCAAAAACTTTTCTTTTCATATATATATTTAATTAAGCTCTTCTATGTCTACAAAACCTTTTTTGAAATTTTTATAGTAATTGTACTAATCCTACACAAAATTGAGAAGATAACTATGTTAAGTCTAGTAAATCCATGAACATAGATATCCCTACAAGTTTGAGATCTTCATTTCATCAACATTTTATAATTTTCATTACATAGGCATAAATCTAACAAACTCCGTACAAAATTTAAGCATTTTATTATCTTTAGAGCAATTGTTAATGGTATTGGATTTTTATTTGTTTCCACATGCGGTTTATTTCCATGCTCTGATTGTAAGTACTTTATCATTACTGAACTCACTTATTAGATATAGTTTTTTCTAGGTTCTTTGAGGTTTTCTACACAAATCATGTAGTCTGCAGAGAAATAGGTTAATTTCTTCATTTCCAATCTATATGCCTTTTATTTCTTTTTCTTGCTTTATTATAGTGGACAGAACTTCCAGTATTATGTTGAATAAGAGAGGTGAAAAGTGGGCATTCTTGCCTTGTTCTCATTCTTAAGGGAAAATCACTCCACTTTTTTACTATTAACTGTGATTTTAAATACATGGAGATTTTTGTAGTAACTCTTTATGAGAAAGAAAATTTAGCTCGGTTACTATTGTGAATTTTTTTTTTATCATGAATGGTTGTTGAATTTTATCAAATGCTTTTTCTATGTCAATTGACATTGTTACACAGATTTTTTCTATAGTCATATAAATGTGGTAAATTGCTTTGTTGGATTTCTAATTATTGAACTAGCCTTTCATACCTGGTATTAATCCCATGTGGTATGGTATTTCTATGAATTGTTGAATTTAATTTTGTCAGTATTTTACTAAGAATTTTTGCATGTAAATTCATGTGAAATATTGCTCTTTAGGTTTTATGCTTTGTCTAGTTTTGATATCAGAGTAATTGGACTTATAAAATGATGTAGGAAGTTTTTCTCCTTTTCCGAGTTTTCCGGAAAACTCTTCAGTAGGTTGTGTAGGATTAGTGTTAATTCTTTGTTAAACATTTTAATTGGATTTTTCCTGTGTAATCATCTGGTTCTAGTGAACTATTGAAGGAACTTTTTAATCATAAATTTAATTTCTTTAATGGTTATAGGACTATTCAATTTTCTCTCTTTCATCTTGGCTAGGTTTAGTAGTTTGTAGGTTTTGAGGAAATGGTTCATATCTTCTGATTGTTTGAATTTACCAGCATAAATTTGTTGCTAGTATTATTCCCTGAAATCCTTTTGATGACTGTGAGATCTGTTATAATACCCTATTTCATTCCCAGTGTTGGTGATTTATGTCTTCTATTTTTTATCTGTACTTGTCTTGCTAGAGGTTTATTAATTTTATAAAGAACCTATCTTTAATTTGAGTAATATTTTCTATTTTTAATTTTATTGATTTCTGCTATTATTGTTTTTTCCTTCTGCTTACTTTGATTTTTTTTTTTGCTCTTTTTCTAGATTCCTGAGGTATAAGTCTAGATTATTTATTTAAGACATTTTGGTTTTGCTTATGTGAGTATTTAGCCTTTTTCATTTCCCTCTCAGGACTTCTTTAATTGCATTACACAATTTTTAATAAGTTATATAGTCATTTTTATTCACTTCTATATATACTTTCATTTCCTTTGAGACTTCCTCTTAGATTCATGGATTTAAAAGTATGTCATGTGATCTCTATGTGTTTGGAGATTCTTGTTGTAGTTATTGATTTCCAGTTTGATTCCATTATAGTCAGAGGAAATGCTCTGTATGATTTCAAGGACTAAATAAGATTTTAAAGGTTTTGGCAGGTTGAGGCAAATTCCCCAAAACTTAATAGGATTATATTTAGTAAGGATAAATGAAGAGTTAAAAATTAACTATATTACTACAGGATGGGTTAGATATAACTAAATTCACCTGAAGAATCATCACAATTTTAGTGGATTACTAATTTATCTTGATAGTATCATATGCCTAGCCATGAAAAGCTATCACTCTTAGACTGCATTAATAAAAATATGATGTCCAGAATAAATAAGGTAATTGTTTCATTACACATAATACTTAACATCTGGAGGTTTTTGCTTATAGAAGGATTTAAACATAGACTAGAAAACCCATAAGGATTATTGTGCTTTAGATTATGATTATATATTTAGTAATTTTTGTAAAAATTTTTGTATATAGACATTCCCTATAGTAAAACACCTTGATTTTGGAATTCTAATAATCCATAATAATTGTTTTTCTTTTACCAAGTAATTTTTAGCTTCTCCTACTTAGCAACACTACCTGATAATCAAACTATGAGATTTTCTTTTTTTTATGGTATCTTTCGTCACTGTTTGGAGACTGCATACCAAATATGTTTTCCCTCATCTTCTGTTTCTCATTGTATGTGGTCACGTTAATTACATCTTACCCAGTCTCTTTTACTTATGATTGCCTCTCCTAATTCATTTTTTTTCTGTTGTTCTTTTAATAATTAGAAAATTTTCATCACCATTTCCCTTTTTGTTTGATCTGGGTCAAAAAATAACCATTATTATCCTGGTTACCCAAAGGCTAAAGTAGGAGGAACACAAATTGAGGCCAACCTCCTTAACTTAGTGAGGCCCCAAGTAAATTAGGGAGACTCTGTCTCAAAAAGGATGTAGCTCAGTGGTAG